AATTTGAACTAAATGGGAGTTGACATCCCTTTAGGTTCTAGGTTTTGATTATTCTGTTCATTAAGTTCTTCAATTTATTTCCTTGAGAATGTATTTTAACGACAGCACGTGTGTACCTGCCTGCATGTATGTATGTGGTGGGACAGAGGGAGAAAAGTGTGAGGAAATTTTAGGCAAGTCATTCATCTCTCCACATTTCACTTTTCGTGTATGAAATGTGGAGGTAATTGCCAGCTACCCCACAGGGATACTTAACTGATGCGAAGAAAACACTGAGTATTGTTGAAGGAAGATGCTTTGAAGACTTAGGGGGTTTCTCATTCTTTTCAGTAGCTGCTCCTCATGAAGAGTTTTTTGGAAAGAGGGTCTATTGAACTTGTTAATTCCACTGTAATTTCCTTCACATGTGTATTCTGGGAGCAATTATATAAATCCACATCCTGCTGCTTCCTTTCCTGCTGATGTGGAGGAAAATCCACCCATTCGTTTTTCCATTGTTTTGCTCATCTATATTGAAAGGAAAGTGACAGTTGAGTATGTTAAAGGACATTATATTCGAGATTGTCTAGGTTACATTTCAGCTGTCAGGCCACTTGGATTTGCATATGTCATCTATCACTGTGATGCCAAGGTGCTTAAAACTACCTGGACACTAATAATGCTTATTTGTGGCTTCCATGTTTTGTGTTGGAGTAAAGTGGTCTATTTTCCTTACATGTTAAATTTGTGAATTCTAATTATGCCTTCATGAGTATTAAGACGGTGCCTGCTCCGTTTTGTTTTTCAAAGTTACTTTTGCATTTCTGGAAGTATATAAGGAAAAGTTTGGAAATCTACTATTGAATGATTAAATGCCTACTAACTGCCTTGTTCTGTTCTAGCCATATGTGTTATTTTATCTAATCTTCACAAAAATATGTGAGCAAACTGCGGCTCTCTAAGTGATCAGGCATAGGAAATTTTAATGATTCCTATAAATTTGCATAACTAGCAAGTAGCAAAACTCTTTTCCTAGAAGTCTGGGAGCATGGGCTCCAAGTTAAAAAAATGTTTGTGATATAGTAAACATTTTTCCCCTAGCCTGCTTTCTAGGCCCCAGAGAGGTTGTGTTTATGTTCTTTAAGAAACGCAGGTCACTAGAGGGTATTATGCTAAGCGAAATAAGTCAATCAGAGAAAGACACATATCATACATATGTTCTCACTGATACGAGGAATTCTTAATCTCAGGAAACTGAGGGTTGCTGGAGTGGTGGGGGGTGGGAGGGATGGGGTGGCTGGGTTATAGACATTGGGGAGGGTATGTGCTATGGTGAGTGTAAATTTTATAAGACTGTTGAATCACAGATCTGTACCTCTGAAACAAATAATACATTGTATGTTAAAAAAAAGAAGATAGCAGGAAGGGAAAAATGAAGGGGGGGAACCAGAGGGGGAGATGAACCATGAGAGACTATGGACTCTGAGAAACAAACTGAGGGTTCTGAGGGAGGGGGGCAGGGGGATGGGTTAGCCTGGTGGTGGGTATTAAAGAGGGCACATATTGCATGGAGCACGGGGTGTTATACGCAAACAATGAATCATGGAACACTACATCAAAAACTAATGATGTAATGTATGGTGATTAATATAATAAAATAAAATTAAAAAAAAAAGAAACATAGGTCATGGTATCCCCTGATTTTATAAGTCCCTCTCTGTCAGAACCTAATAAACACTCAGCAGTAACTGTAACAGCACCACCACCAAGGCCAGCAACAGGAAAACAAGTAGCTGACATTCCCGGGGCATTAACCTATGTCCCAGAAACTGTCCTTAGCACTTTATACGTATTAGCCTATTTAATGCTTAAATAACTCCTTGAGGTGTGCATACCTCTATTATCCCCATTTTATTGAAAAGGAGACAAAGTTGTTGAGTTAATTGCCCAAATCAAACAGCAAATGAGTTTTGGAACTGGAGTATGAACCCAGGTAGTGGGGCACCCACGCTCTGTTGTCCCACACTTATACCACACTTCTCAGTAAGTATTTGTTATACTAAAATTCTGAGTTGGAAACTAATGAAACCAATTCAGATTAAGTTAAATGGAAAAGGCATCTATTGGGAGGACATAGAGTAGCTCACTGAGTCAGTAAGAAGCCTGGAGAACCAGGCTTGGAAAACAAGCAGGACCATGAAAGACGGGAGCAGAGAACACAGCCGGATGTGCCACGGGAAGAGTGGTTATGAGGCCACTCCTGGTGCTTCCACCACTGGCTGGTGGCCCCTGGGTCATGGCGCTGTTGGATCTGCTGCCATCGGTGATCCTGCAGTAGTAAGACTAATGAACATCCTGACTGCATTGTCATCTTGGCATCACTCAGGAAGATTCAGAGGCCCAGGTAGAAGCATTTGCTTGATGGGAGTCCAGGTCACATTATGCAAAGGCCAGGTTCGGTATATACTTTTTGATTGAATTGTTCTGGTGTACTCTGGGCAGAATAGTAACAAGAAAGAAAATGACAAACAACTTTCCATTGTGAAACTCTAAAGATTAAGGTACTTGCTCAGGAAAACTGGACCCTGTTATGTGGTGAAATAGGTCAGTAAAATGATTTGAGGAGTTGGCAGGTAGAGAATGAGAAGGCACTGGGTTACATATTTGTTTAAATCCAGTTACCCTCTGAGTGACCGGTTTGGATCATGGATTACAGAGCATCACTTGATGGCTGATGATTGAGTTATAAAATACATTTTTTTTTTCCTGGTTAATTTTAACGGCAGATGAAGAAATTGCCTGGGTATCAAAAGGTAATACTTTTTAGAAAAAGGCTGATGGTTTTGTTCATAAATATGGTCAGGATCACTGTTTTAAGAATTTTGTACAGATCAGACTTCACCTCAACAATTGTTGTAATAAAACATTTTCAAGCCTTATCTGATGACTCACTGGTTGTAAACACTAATCCATATAACAAGATTTTGGTCCAGTACAAGGAGTTGTGTCAGGCCGTGAATAAGGTTTGGCTTTTATCACACAACACTTAATTGAAACTCATTTTCCTAAAATTCCGAGCTTAAGAATCATGGTTAAACTTTCTGAGTGCTTACAATCAGCCAGACAATGTGTAGAGTATTTTTTATATATCTTCCCTTTTAATCCTCATAATAACCCTATAAAGTATTATTATTGACACTTCAAGGAGGGGACTGAGGCTGAGAGAATAACTTGCCCAAGGTCATGCAGGAAGGGATGGAGTTGGGTTTTAAATCCACATTTGTCTGACTCTCGAGCCTGCTTTTGATCGCAGCGCTGTACTGTGGAAGAAAAATCATTAATTAAGTCTCAGGTTAACTCTGGGTTAGCATTCTTGAATTTTCAGATCAAGAGATTTCCTTGTCACCAGTTCTTAGCGAACAGCTTTCTATTTTAGATTCAGTAACTCGAAAAATGTCATTCCATCCAAGATTCGTTCCCTGAGTTAATAGAATATAAATTGTTATTGCCACTTAGTCTTTGCTGTCTTATACCATCCTCACACATGTTTTCATATTGGATGTTGGGTGAGATGACTTCTCATGATTTGGGGAGGATGGGCAGGGTGAGGTAGGCAGTGTGGCATCTGAGATCATCTATAATGCTCCAAACCACTGATTACTAGGGATTTGTGAAAATAGTCCTTCTTGAAAAACCTTCTGTGGATGCCATCTCTTGACAGTGACAAACACTAAAATTTGCCAAGCATCCTGTAATAGAATATTTGCTTTTATTTGTGTTCAGTTTTCACTTTGAGCTTCAAGTTAAGTTCAGGTTTTCTAGGACTGGGAAGCCAGGTTTTCTTCACTTTGTTATCATGTTCATGGTTTTGACAGAGTTTGCTGACTTGTGACTAATTTTTAGTCTTTTACATGTATTTTAATAAACCTATGAATTAAGGAAGTCTCATGTCCACATTAAAAACTGCTTACCCTAACCCTAACCCTTATTATGAATGTTTCTTTCCTGCTCGGTTTTGTCCATGTGCTTATATCCTACAAAATACATATACGGAGGAACAAAAAAGCCCTGATAGTCCTGTTAGTGTGGTAATAGCCCAAGTTCAAGGAATGAGTGCAGCTGACCTGATGCAGGGTCAAAGCCAAAATCCACTGGTATCATGACAGAAGACTATGTTAAGTAATTTTTCAAAAATTTCATACTCATTAAACTGATTTTGTTTACTAAAAGTCTGTCAGTTTTGTTTGAAGATGAAATGTTTTCCCCCTTGATTCTTTTTGTGTGGTTGAGCATAGTTTTGTGGGGTTTTTTTTGGTGTATGTATATTTTTAATCAAGCTGCTTTCAGGGTGCAATGTGGAGCCCTCAAAAGCCAGATTTGGTACTGGGTTCAGGGGTTAATAGATTCAGGACTGCACCTGCGAGTCTCTTTACAACTGGCTTTGTGCACATGCATCCAGCATACCTGGCTAGGCTCGATGCTTTTTTGTCAGATATTTAGACACATGCCCTGGCAGATAGTGGGGAAGGTGGTTATGTCTTTATTGTCATTAGCAGAGCTCTCAGGAAAGGCCTGCTTTAAATTCTAACAAGAGAACTTATTATGTGTGAATGGAAGAATTAATAAGGACCTGAGGATTTTTTTTTTTTTTTTAGTTTGCAAAGTGGGACACCCCCATATATGATGGATAAATGTCTTTTTTCTTGTAAGTAACTAACATATGGGAGAGGTAGAAATTATTTGTAATTTGATGTCATTAGAACGATATTTAAAAAGCTGCGTGGCTCTGGACCTTGGGCAGGGGCTTAGAAAGTTCCATGGTAGCAAACTAAGCATTTCTTATAACGGGATGTGAACGGCAACAGAATGCTCTAGGCGATATTAAATTGGGGTGATTTTTAGAAAGTGACAAATGTTTTATGTTTCCTAAATCCGAGATGGGTTCTACCAGCTGCACATGGCTGCCAAGTTATGTTATCACTTGCCTGCTTTGTAACTGCTTCAATTCCTTCCTCCCCCAGCCCTGTATGATGAGATTCGTCAGTTTCGCAAGGCCTGTGGGGAGGCTCATCTCAAAACCATCTTAGCAACAGGAGAACTTGGATCTCTTACTAATGTCTATAAAGCCAGTATGATAGCAATGATGGCAGGTAAGTGTTCTACATTCAAATGACGGTATCTATTGAATTGATGTTTTTAGGAGAAATAAGTAAGCTAAAATATTTGGCTATTAGCTAAAACATGCTAACCACTTGGAAATTTGAGTGGGAGGACTCAGATATTTTGTGAATACGTGTACAGTGTGAAGTGGTCACAAACTTGGCTTTCTTGCACGTTTTTTGTGGCATTTCATCGCTGCACTATCCTTGTAAGACAGTAGATGGCTCTCTTGTTAGTGAATTGCCTTCTTGTTATTCTTTGATTATTCATTCATCAACATATGTTAGACAGGAATTTCTTTAACTCTGACTTATTTCTCTCTGTGAATTTAAGTGTTTGATTTTTCTCAGAGATGTGTATCTATATGGGTTCAGGCAGCCTGTGCTTTTGTTTGTGTTAATTTTTCTTTTTAAATGTGGTGCAGTATCATTGCTTTTTATACTTTGAAATGCAGGTTGACTTATTCTTCATCTCCTTGAAGAATAAGGCCTGTCCATTCATACATCCAAGCTTGAAACCTGGGAGTCAGGCTTGATTCCTTCTTTTCCTCATCTTCCCCTAAACCAGCGAACGAGTCTGGAGAACTCTACCTCTTCACTGTATCTAACACATCGTCTCTCCATCCTGCATGCTGCCTCCTCTGGCCATTGCCGTACACCACCCGGATCACTTCAGTCTCCTCACTGCTCTCCCCTGTCTCCGCTTTTGTCCCCTTCCAATCTGTTTCCCACACAATTGCCAGAGTGGTCTCTTAAAAGTGCTAATTGGGTTTTGGTCCTGCTTGCTTAAAATCCTTCGGTGGCTTACAGTGCCTCTGGACCCAGCTGGAGACAAAGGAAGATACCTGTGCACCTGTCCACTTGAGCTCATATTTGCCAGCAGGGCACCTCAGAAGCCGGTGAGCTTTATGTAATCTTGCCACCAAAGGATTCTTTTAAAACATAAGAAAATGTGAAGGTGTAGGGCAAATGAGAGAGGTGACGGGGGGGAGCAGCCTTCTTTTCAGCAAGATGTGAGGGAAATTTAATTCACTTCCATAAATAAGAAACAACACACACCCAAGGTCTTCACCAGAAGCTGCACTCTCCACCCCCTGCCCCCACTCTCACATCATTGTAAGAGAGTCAGGATCACCACAAGGCTCACCCGGCCTGCCCACTCAAAAAACAACAACAAAAAATCCTTCGGTGGCTTCCCTTCATCGTCAAGGTAAAATGTAAACTCCTTCAGCCTGATTTTAAGAAAAGGTCCTTCTTAAGACCCTGCCTGTGCCTCTACAGGCTCCTCATTTTCCCTTCACACCATATGCTCCAGCTCTATGAAATTCTTCGTAGTTCTCTGCAGATGGTACCATCCAAACCTTTCAAGGCTTCCTACATGCTGTGCCCCCTGCCTGGAATGCCTTTTGCCCAAGTAATTCCTTCACATCTTTGGCTTCAGCACAGGTGTCCCTTCTTTCAGGAGTGTTTCCCCGATACTGCTTCCTCCCTCACCACTTGGTTCAGTATCTCTTCTGTGTGCCCACATAACATTCTGTTGAAACCTCTATCAGATGACCTATCCCACTATCGTGTGATCGAGTATTGAATTTCGAGGTGCCCTACCAGTGGCTCCATAGGTGGGTGAAGATACCTGACTTCTCAGGTCTTCAATCTGGGCCTCTATTGTAGTCCCCCTCTAGATTTTTAGACTCGTGTACTTTTTGAGTCCTGTCAGACTTAGTCTCATTCCCTGGGACTCTACTGAAAATCACCCTGCTGGGCATATGCTGTGCTCATTGCCCCTGTATCCAGATGATCTCTGCTCTGGTTGTCTCATTTCGAGCACAGTCTCTGAAAATCTAAGGTGAAGAATGGAACGCGTTAAACAGTGGGTCATCTGTTATGTTGGCATTTCAAAGGTCCACAATAATAGAAGCCTCACTGCAGCTCTTATGAGCCTGGGTGAAGCCCCCTGGAGTCCTTAGTACACAGGTAACACTCTTTTCATGCTCCTTGCTGGGACAAGGGATGGTTCACCTAGAGTGCTGTGATCTAGGTCACAATGAAAGTATATGCATTCTGGGAGGTCAGCCAGCCCTGTCCTCCTCACTGCACCTACTGCTCATGATAGGAACGTGGTATTTAGGTCATCATGCCAGGAAGTCCCTCTTCTACCCTCCAGTCCACCCACCCACAGAAAAAAAAAGTGAGTAGGTACATGCTCTCCCCTGTCTCTTCCTGTCTGCTTGGATCCCTGTCCATGTTGTTCCTTATCTCTTTCATTTCTTCACTTAAGCAGTGTCTGTTGAGTACTTACTATGGGTAATAAAACTTGTATTTGTGGTGTGCTTTACCAAATGCTTTAAAATAATATTCCTTGGGCGCCTGGGTGGCTCAGATGGTTAAGCATCTGCCTTCGGCTCAGGTCATGATCCCAGGGTCCTGGGATCGAGGCCCGCATCAGGCTCCCTGCTCCTTGGGAACCTGCTTCTCCCTCTGCCTCTCTCTCTCTCTCTCTCTCTGTCTCTCATGAATAAATAAATAAAATCTTAAAAAAAAATAAAATAAAATAATATTCCTTAATCTGCACATCAACCCTGTGGTTGATGAAGAAACTTAAAAAGTGACTTGTCTAAGGTCACAAAGCTAATAGACCACAGAGTCATTATTTGAACCCAGGTCTTCTGGCTCCATGAGTATTGCTTTCTCAGCTGTAACACAGCCATCTCCCAGGGCACTGTGCTTGACCTTATAATGAATTAAAGACATACACAGTCTTTGCAAGGTATAATAAGTGAAAGCATCCAGCATACTTCCTGGCCCATAGTTTCTGGTTCCTGTTCTCTTAAGAAGGTATATAATAGAAAAGAAGTATGTTTTGAAGATAAAAATTTTGGACTAAATTTACATTTATATAAATTACAGCTCTACTTTGGCATTTTTAATTGATTTTTTTCCCTTAAAAATCAACTGCATTGAGGTAAATTTATACACATTGAGGTGTTAAGTGTCCAATGTGATGACTTTTTACAATTTGTATTTTTCATCATCCCAAAAATTTCCTTTGTGCCCCTTTGCTTTTAGTTCCACTCTTTTTACTTCTGCCCTAGCTGCAATCAGTGCTCTGATTTTATCACCATAGACTGACTTTGCCGGTTTTAGAACATCTTATAGTTATACAGTATGTACTCTTTTGTGCTTGTTCTCCTTCCACCCCCAAGATAATAGCTGTGAGATCTATTCATGTTGTTCTGTGTATAAGGAGTTTGCTTAGGGGTATTCCATTGTACAAATATACTGAGTTTCCAAACTTATTGATATAAAGTTCATAATATTCTGATGTCTATAGGGTCTGTAGTTATACCTCCTTTTTTACTTCTGGTGTTGTCATTTTTGTTTTCTTTCCTGTTGTTGTTTCTTTCTTTCTTTCTTTTTCCTTTTTTTTTTTTTTTGGTAGAAAAGAGTTTTGCTAGAGGTCTGCCAATTTTATTAATCTTTTCAAAGAGCCAATTTTTTGCTTTGCTGTTTTATCATTGTCATTGAGTTAAAAATACTTCTAATTTCCCTTGTGATGTCTCTTGATGTTTAGAACGTTATTAGAGTATTATTTAGAATAAACCTTTACACTGGTGCACCTAAATACATAAAGCAAATAGTAATGGACATAAAGAGAAATCGACAGAATGTTTAATTTCCCAGTATTCTGTGCTTTTCTGGATATCTTATTGTTATTGACTTATAATTTAAAATTCTTTTATGCTCAGGGAATATCCACTGTAAAAATCTTTTGTCTTTTGAATTTGAAGAAATTTATAGGCCATTTCAATGGTATATTTAAGTATAAATACGCTTCAAGTGCACTTGAAAAGAATGTCATGTATTTGCAGATATTAGTGATAGTATTCTGTTAATATCAAGTAGGTCAAGTTGGTTGATCATATTTTTCAGATCTGGTTTTGTTTTGTTTTGGTCTACTTGTTCTATTTATTACCAAGAGGACAGGGGTGTTAAAGTCTCCAAATATGATTGTAGATTTGTCTACTTATCCCTTTAGTTTTGTCAGTTTTTTCTAAATGTATTTTGGAGCTTTGATACTAAGTATATACACTTTCAGGATTGTTATGTTTATCTGTTGAATTAATGCATTCATTATGACCTGTCCCTTTTTACGGTACTAGACCTATCTGAATGTCTACTTTGTCTGGTATTAATCTAACCACACTAGCTTTCTTGTGTGTTTCTTACCATTTGCATGGCATATCTTTTTCCATCTTTTTTTATGAAAAAAATATATGTGTGTGAAATTGTAACCCATCTTTGGTTATATATTTAAAGCCATTTCTTGTAGGCTTTTTTTTTTTATCCATTGTGAGAATCTGTACTTTTTAATTAGAATGTTTTGTTCATTTTCATTTCACACAGTTTTTGATATGATAGGAGTTAAGTCAGTTATCTTGCAATTAGTTTCCTATTTGTTCTGATCCATTTTTTGTTTTGTTTTTTTCCTGCTACCTTTTGGGTTCATTAAATATTTGATAGCACTTCATTTTATTTTTTTCTGTTGGCTTTTTATCTACAGCCTCTTTGTACTTTTCAAGCACTTGCTCAATTATAATATGCATCTTTAACTTACCACAGTTTACATAGATTTAATATTCTATTTACACTTCATGTGTCATGAATGTAAGAACCTTAACAGTTGCGTTTACATCCTCTTTAGTCCTTTGAATTATTTTAGTGTTCTTCTTCCACCTATTTATAAACTCCTTAATATGATGTGATTTTTGTTTTAACAGTCATTTGTCTTTTAAGGAAATTAAAAGAAAACTAAGTAAAACTAGTCTTTTATATTTTCTCACACGTACATCATTTCCTTCTTTATTCCTTCTTATAAGTCTGCTGGTGACTATTTCTCTTAGATTTTGTTCATCTGAAAATGTCTTCATTTTACACTCATGTTTCAAGGATTGTTTGCTGAATATGGTGTTCTAGGTTACAGTTTTACTCTT